CTAAGAATAAAAACTTTAATGTGTTTCTCTCGACACTGAACTTCGTGCTGATAGTTGGGCTCTTTGATTAGCGTTCTTTCCTGAACAATCCAGATGGCCAGACTTATATTTTTGTTTTTGGTAACAAGACATAATAAAGCTCAAGCTTTTATCTAAATACTAAGTTTATAACTGAAGATGAGGATAGGCACAAGAATCATCTGTTTGCATTTCAACTTTGGAAAATGTCAGTCTCATGTAATTTTTTTTCCCCAAATAATTTAAAAGCTTTTTGTTTAAACCCAGGAATGGTAAATTGAATGAACCTTTAGGTTCATTATGTCTCAAATAGCGCACTTGGTAAGTAGGCTAGCCCTGGCAGTGGTACCTTTATTTTAAATGTTGGTTAGGTCTTGGAGAAATGGTAGGTTGGCTTTCATCTAGATGCTTGGGGGTGTTTCCTTCCTTGGCATGACGTAAGCATCTATAAGCATCAGTTAATTGTTTCTGTGTTCGTCTATTTTGAAACATTCTGATTTTAACATCCTGATTCCTTCACCAGGATTATATTTCTATTATAGTAAAATAATGGGTGTTGGGGCTAGAAAATCTATAAAATATTGCAAGGCATGGTGAAGATAGTAATCATCTGTAATATACAAATTGGGGAAAAAAACCTACTTTTAATATTTGTTTATTTCCTTCTGCTATTTCGCCCATGCATGCAAGTACATATTTATATAGAACCAGGAGCATCCTCTGTGCCAAGTTTGTATTCTGCTTGATATTATCTCCCACTTATGGCCACTTTGAAACCACAGAAAATAAGGCTCCAGAAATGCATCTTCTCAAATGTAAAATGTTCATTCCAAATTAGTACATATTTTTATCCTATTATAGAACGCTTGATTTATATCTTCCCAGATTCTTCTTATGATGCGTGACCCTTGTGCTATTTTTTGCTTGTTTGTGTTTTTGGATTGTTCTCTAGTGGAGCATGTGTTACTTTCTGGGCTTAATTGGTATGAATTGAGCTAACCCAACAAGAATCTTCCCTATACATAAATCTGTGAACAGCTTGATTATTTTCTTTGGTTTTTGTTTTGTGTTTTTTTTTAAAGAATAAACACCTAGGAGTGGAATAATTGGGTCAAAATGGTGAATATTTTGTATATTTTGTATACTTCATAGTCTATATTCATAGAAAGGAGTTTTAACCCCCCCCCCCCAAGTAAGGAATATCCAGTCTACCATTTTCATCCTCGTGTCTTTCCCTACCATGTTTTTGGCACCATTCTGTTTTCCTGGTCCCCCATGCCGTTCACATCTCCCTGTACACTGCACAGGCTTTCCGTCTCTCCCCTCTGCCCCTCCCGTGACATGCACCTGCTCGGAACAGCATTGTCGCAGGCCTGGCTGCAACTCCCCACCTCTGCCCTCACGCCCTCTGCAGTGACCTCTGCCCGCAGCCCGTCCAGCCCTCCCAGGGGCCTGGGAACTGTTTTCTCTCTGGCCCTGAGTACTGTGACGGACGGTAGAGGTTCCAGAGAAAAGTCACCTCCTCATTCGGAATTTGCCAGAATCAAATCAGCAGATGCTGTTCTGAGAGGGAGATTCTTGTCAGTTTCTGTCATTTCTCTGAATTCAGTAGCTTGAAAAAATTAATATGAAAAGCTGTTCTTGAGTTTTTAAGCATTATCATCCTTATTTTTAGAAGCTGCTTTGGATACTTTTCTTACTAGAAATGTAGAGCCCCAAATAGGAAAGCTCACTGGAGATGGTTCAAGTAGTTTCCTTATTAAAAATACCTAAATGTCTTTATTAAGGGCAGCCCCGGTGGCTCAGCAGTTTAGCGCCGCCCTCAGCCCAGGGCCTGATCCTGGAGACCCTGGATCGAGTCCCGCGTCGGGCTCCCCGCATGGAGCCTGCTTCTCCCTCTGCCTGTGTCTCTGCCTCTCTCTCTCTCTGTGTCTCTAATAAATAAATAAAATCTTAAAAAAAATAAATGTCTTTATTAGAAGATCACCTTTTATGGCAGAAAATCCAATGTGTGGCTAGTAGGAACAAAACTATGCCAGAAGCCCGTGGCTAGGATTCCTCTTGCCTCAAAGGCTAGGGCTGCGGACCCAAGGAGTGCGGTCTCCTGGTGCCCTGGAGACTATTCCCACCAGATGTCTGGGGATCGGTGACCGTAGTTACAAAAAAGACCGAAGGAAGGAAGGAAGGCAACTTGTCTTTTCTGTCTGGAGACAACGGGTCTCAACTCTTACGGATAGTCAGGGTAAGAGAAAGGCCCGTCACTTGTCCCCGTCACTGCGAACCGAGCATCTGCTCCACCGAGGCTCTACTGTGACATGTGCCAGGGTCTACGGAGGCTCTACTGTGACGTGTGCCAGGGTCCATGGAGGCTCTACTGTGACATGTGCCAGGGTGCGGGGGACTTGGGCGGCCCATCATGGCCTTGGAGGGACCCGGGGGAAAGCACGCGGCCACGGGACAAAGGCGACATAAGGGAAGGGCTCCGCGAGCGGTGGGAAGCAAGGACCTTCCCACTGGGTTCAGGGAGAGGTTAGCCCCAAGTGCGGTGATGCGCGAAGCTATTTTGGAAAGGAAATACCTTTTGAGCTGAGCCTCGGATGAACCGATAGGATCTTGAGAGACGGTCCAAGGGACGTACATGAAAGGAATGCGAACCCCGGGTTGCCGCATCGCACCGGGCAGGTTTGCGGGGAGCAGGTGGCCCTGTGACCGCGACGGTGGAGTTCAATGGGGAGGGTTGGGGGGGGAGCCCCCCAGAACCACAGGCTCATCAAACCCATATTGCACTGGACTCTGCCTCGCAATCTGCAGGCTGTTGGCCCTCGGGGTTTGTATCTAGGCTTCTGCTACCTCGGCGACTCATGGGGTGTTAGACGCAGGCACCCAGGCCCGCCTGGGTCTCTGGGGGTTCCAATAGCACCCAGAGAAAGTGCTATTGAAGCCGCCCTCAGGACGGCAGTCCCTGACACAGTGGCGCGGTGACACGAAGGTCAGAGCCCTGGGTAGTGACAGCGGGAGCAGGATCGTGTGCCGAAGCAGCCCGGATTATGGGCCGCGGGGAGGGGCAGGCTGGTAAGGAAGGCAGGGCTGGCTGTGAGCTTCCGGGTGGGGGGCTGGGGTGCCCCCAACAGCGCATGGAGAACATGTGAATCTCCCCAACACCTAGGGATGGAGACTGACCCCCACCCTCCTGCAGAGCTGCCTCCTGGCCCCGCCCCGTAACCACCTCTGGACTTCCGAGGGCATCTGGCACCTGTTCTTGGACCCGCCTGAGCCCCTCGCGCCTCTTGCTGCCGGACCGTAGGTGTTGGGACAGCCTGGCTGGATCCCCGCTCCCTCGGCCAGGCTGGGTGCTCGGGTGCTCTGGTGCTCGGGGCCAACCCCCCCCCAACCCGCAGTCCCTGCCCCAGCGGCTTGAGGACCGGTGGGCCTTGCCCTTCGGCCCCTCCCTGCTTGTTGCGGTCCCCAGCCTCTGTCCCTGGGAGCCCGGCGGTCCCGCAGGAAGGGGGCGAGGCTCCGGACGCCACAGGGGGCAGGCCTCTGTGCCTTGCCAGGCCCTCTGCCCGCGGGGTTTTAGAGCAGCCCCAGGTTGTAGAAACTGAGGCAAAATGACTCTTGTCCCCTGGCTCCTTCAGCGCTCAGATGGCACGTGGGTGGGGCTGCCCACCGAGTACAGGCCTGTTGGGGTATTGGCTACGCGACCTCATCGGCCCTGGGTCTCCTCCTTTCCCTAGATGCGTGGTCCTTCAAAACGTGCAGGCCACTTACACTCAGTCCCCACCACCGGTCACCAGGCCCCCCAGGCCCTGTGGAGGTCACGGCCGGGCTCACCTGCGACGCCCACTCACCTGGGGTCAGAAGGGAGAAGAGGAGACACAACCCTTCCACGTGGGTGTTGGGAGATGGTGTCAGTGTCAGGCGTGCCCAGCACCGGGTCGCATCTGCTCCGCCCTCGCCCCCCCCCCCCCCCCCCCCCGCTCTAATACTCACTCGCCTGCCCTCGCGCTCCTTAAAATAAATAGATCTTTAAAAAAAAAAATCCCATGTCCTGGATGAAACCTCCTCAAGCATTTCACAGCAGCAGAGGACACCCCATTGTGCGACACAACCAGGCTCAGGCCTACCCGGTGGAACTTGGCATTTTTCTAGTCGGGTCCCCCCACCCTGAATGCCTGTGTATTATTACTTTTAGCGGCTCTGCAGATTTTCCAATGCATTGTGGGAAATATTTTAAGATTTTTCAGTTGTAAAGGTTTCAAAGAATCCATGTGAAACCCTGTAGCAAACCTCAGCAAGCTTCCAGTCCTCTGACCTGGCCCTACTCCTCCCATCCCAGGGCTTTACCCTCTGATACATTTTGCCTTAAGAACAGTAAGGGAAGGAGAAAGTGGGTGGCGTTAAGGAGTTAAAGGTGGTTTTACGTATATAAAGAGAGAGGGAGAGAGAGAACCTCAAGCAGGCGCTGCCCCCAGCGAGGAGCCCTATGCAGCGCCCACTCCATGACCCTGAGATCCTGACCTGGGGGAAATCAGGACCAAGCCCCTGGGTGCCCTGGGGTTAAAGATGTTTTAAATTGGTGAGGAAGGAAGGAAGGAAGGAAGGGAGGAAGGAAGGGAGGGAGGGAGGGAGGGAGGGAGGGAGGGAGGGAGGAAGGAAGGGAGGAGCGCTAAAGAGGGGGACAGAGAAGGGGAGGAGCCGAAGCAGAGACAGCACGTGCCGGTTGGCCCAGCGGGCGCGTCCGCGGGGCGCAGCGGGGCCCCAGCTCCTGGAAGCGCGGTGCACGGACAGCCCCGGACAGCCCAGCCGGGCAGCAGGGGAGGAGGGCGACGCTGCCCCGCCCCCGCTGACTCCGCCGGCAGGCCCGAGGGGTGGGGGGCGCCTGGCCCCGAGCAGGCCGGGGTGGGGGGGGGGTGTGGCCGCCCAGGGGCCGGTCCCTCCGGCCCTCCTGCCCGGGCGCCGGCTCAGCCCTGGTGTCCCCGCAGGACGTGCTGGGCGGCATCGCGGTGACGGCGGTGCTGCTGGTGCTCACCTACCCGGCCTGGAGCCTCATCGACCGCCTGGACTCGGCCAGCCCGGCGCTCCCCGTGTGCGCCGCCGTGGTGCCCTTCCTGCTGTGCTACCACTACCCGGCGCCCGACTTCTACAGCCCGACCCGCGCCGACACCACCACCATCCTGGCCGCGGGCGCGGGCGTCACCATCGGCTCCTGGATCAACCACTTCTTCCAGCTGGCGGCCGCCCCCGCCCCCGCCCCGGCCCCGGCCCCGGCCCCCGCGCCCCCGCCGCGCCCCCCGGGCCTCCCGCCGCTGCCGCCCGCGCTCTCGCTCTGGCTCTCGGCCGCGGCCGCGGGGCTGGCGCTGAGCCTCACCAAGTTCGCGGTGGGCATCGCGCTGGTCCTCGCCGTGCGCCGGCTGGTCCAGGCGCTGTCGCTGCAGGTGCTGTGCTCGTGGTTCCGGGTGGTCCCGCGGGACAAGGAGGCCCGGCGGAGGCTGGAGATCGAGGTGCCTTACAAGTTCGTCACCTACGCGTCCGTGGGCATCTGCGCCACCACCTTCGTGCCCATGCTGCACAGGTTTCTGGGGTTGCCCTGACCCGCACCTCCACCTGGAGGCCGGCCCACCGGACCGGGGAGCAAACCGGGGCACAGGTGCGGTGGGCGAGTCGCGCCCATATGTGTTTTTCCTTAAAAAAAAAAAAAAAGAAAAAAGAAGTCCTTAGGCCCCACACGTGTTCCGCTGGCACCTGCGGTAAGCGCTGCTGCGGCGAGAGGAAGGCCTGTGGCCCGGCGCTGGTGCGGGTGCATCCTGCTGCGGGAAGCGGGCCTGACCCCGTGTGCTTGGGCGCAGGCGGCAGGAACGGGACCTGGCTCCAGAGACCAGGGCGACAGGCTGATCACAGGGGCTGGAGGTCAGGCTCACCTTGCGCATCGCAGGGCCTCCTGTCCAGACTGGCCACTTGGCTCCAGAGAAGGGGCCGCAGCGTATAAAACTGCATCCTTCGGTTGGCGGGGGTGGGGGGTGCTTTTTGGTCCTGAGGTCACTAGTCTGTGACCCTGGGTGGCAGCAGGATGTACCCCCGGGGCAGGAGCCTGCGCCCTGCTGAGCCCTGGCCCCCCTGAGCCCTAGCCCCGGGGGTGTGCATATCTGCCCCCCCCCGCATCCACGGGTGGGTTTTGCAGAACCCCAGGTGGCGTGGGGACCCTCCTCACCCACGGAGCCCACTGGCCGGCCCACCTCTCTCCATCAGGGCTCCTCCAAGTGTCCTGCGCTCTCCCACTTCTGGGGACCAGGACCAGCCCAGGACCCACTGTCGCGGGTTTCATGCTCCCGCGACAAACCCTGCGAGGGCAGATCCGCAGACCCGATGAACTGGATCCCTCCTGCGGCCTGATGGGGGGACAGGCCTCCCGGACATCACCCTCCATTCCTCAGTTCTTTCCTGCACAGGATCAGGGGCTCCCTTTCCATCCCCCTCACCCTCATCTCTGGGCAATCTTGAGGGTAATGAATGCAAGAAGGGCGCCCAGGTGTCCAGCTGACCTATCAACCCAGGCCTCAAGCCCAGGGGAGTCCTCCTGGGGCCCAGGAAGGCCACCTGACCTGCGAACATCCGCAGGTTCCCTCTGCCGGCGCCTCTTCAGTCCTTAACCCTAAGGAGCAAGCCTCCAGAACTTTCTGAACCATGAGCAGAAGCACAGACGTCAGGAGGCCTGTGGTCGCGGCCGCCGTCTCCTCTCTCAGACTTCATTCCCGCCTGGGACAACAGGCTCCTGCTTCTGCCTCCGGGGTGGAAACTGAAAACCCCACTTGTTCTGATTTCAAATATGTTCCCCGACCTTTGTGCTGGGATGATGCGCGGCTTCGTGCCCCCGTCAACAGAGAACGACTTCTAGAAAGATGCTCTGCTTCTCCCTCAAATCCTTCCCCCGGCTGTGGGCTCTCGTGGTTAAGGAGGCAGAGATCCGATGACCTGCCCTCTGACGCTGCTAGTGCACCATGAGGGAGGGACGGAGGAGCCCAACCTAGAGGCGCCCCTGCCCTGGGCTCCCCCCAAGCCCTCCCAACCCCCCATCCCCCACAACCCCCATCCCCCCACATCCCACATCCCTCACCCCCACCCCACCCCCACCCCAGCGGCGGGTGAGGTCCCTTCCCGGCAGCCCTGATGATATTCCCACAAGAATGATCTCCATTGATTTTTCTGAGGCCAATGGGCGAAAGGATGGGGTCTTCCCACCTGAATCTTTTGAGAGGAGGGGCTGTAACTGTCACAGCAGCGGGCAGTGGTGGTTCCTGCAAGCGCATGTGTGATTTTTAATGTTGTCCTTTAAGTCCCCACGACGGGACAGCCATCGGCTGTAGTATCATCTTTATGTGAATGTAGTTAAGGCTGCATTTACACGGAACTCGCAGGGTTGGACTGAGGACATTGGCCTTAGCGCGTGAATCATGCTGTCGTGGTTGGTCGCTTTTTAAAGAAGTGTGTTGTTTTGCACCTGGAGAAAGAAGAGGTATCCATCCCTGAGGACGATTTTAGTCTCTGTGGCCTGGAGTGAGGCGGCTGGCCTCTGCTCGTCGGCCCTGCACGCACCTACCCCAGGCCTGTCCCTTCCACACGGAGGCCTAGGCCGCCTGCCTGCCACTGCCTTGGGGCCATTAGGGTTTCTCTCCCTGGGAGAGACTGCCCCCTGCCGGTGCAGCCGCAGCCTGGACGGAGCCCCAGTGCGGCCCCAATGCAGCCCCTGTGCAGCCTGGGAGATGAAGAACCTGCAAGCCAAACTCCCCGCGGTGCGTCTAGCATGTGTGTAGGGCCTGCGGCCTGGCCAGGCCTGCTTGTGCAAGCCATGACCCCAACGCCCTCGGGTGACGGGCGCCTCCTGGAGCCCACCAGAAGGCGCCCTGTCTGGAACATTCCTGCTCCCAGCACCCCGGGGCCTGCCTGCCCCAGCAGCCTTCTAACCGGCCGGCCCCCACACTGGTTTTGCCCCCGACCTGTGGCGCCACAGCAGGTGCAGAAGGACACACAGAGGGGACCCTGAGCTGAAAACCCCTCAGTGGCCGTGCCCGGAATCCCTGTACCAACATGCCTGCTGGTCGCCGGGTGACACGGCATCTTCTCCCCGCAGTGGGCGACTCGTGCTTCCCGAGTTGTAACCAAAGCATGTGCTGTTTCGGGCCCATATGCTCCGGGTTTCTATTTTGGGAGCCTTCGGCTGTCTTGCTCATGTACTGTATGTAAATTCATTCTTTTTAAAATAAAATCTTTTGTTTTTGTTTGATTAGGACTTCTTATTAAATGTTTCACAAGCCAGTGCTGTGCTCCCCTGGATCATCCCCCCGCTGCCCCCTAGCCCCCCAGCCACCCCCCTTCAGGGTTCAACGGGACCTGAGTTGAGAAGAGGCAGCGAAATGAAAGGACAGGCGGTGTGATCCCGTTGGTGTCCTGCTCCCACACGCGGTGCTGCTGAGCGTCGGGGCGGCCCTCGTGTGACACGCAGGAAGTGGGGCAGGTGCCCCCTGTGACCCCTTGATGCTGGAAAGAATCCTCTCACCATGGACACACGGCAGAGTGTCCCGTTGGGTAAGTGCGATGGACACAGGCCGAGGTGACGAGAAGGTTCTGGTCAGTGAGTGCGCAGAGTCCAGGGAGCGTGACCCCGTCCCCGCCGACTGCCCGCACCCCCTTTGCTGCCTGAGATAACAGAGGCAAGGCCGAGGCTCCGACCCACTGACACTTTGATTACCTGCGAGGTGGGCACGGGGGGCACGGGAAGCCCCCAGGACACAGGAGGCTCCAGGACACTGAGGCTGCGGCCACTGAACGGAGGCTCCAGCCCTGTGGCACCGTGGGGTGCATGGGGAGGTGCGGGCAGGGAGGTACCGGGGTCCTGCGTGGCGAGGCGTGGCTGGCTGGAGAGCCCCCAACACCTGCAGCTCTTCTAGGGAGAACCCGACCCAACCAGGCTGGCGATGGTGTAGCAGTGACAGTGGCGGCAGGGGCGGGACAGAAGGCGAGCAAGGGCACCTTGGACACGCAGAACAGAGCCACGAGGGGGGGGGAGTGGGGATGAAAGGGGGGAGGCTGAGAAAGTCCCTCAGTCCCTCCCCGGCCATCCCTGTGGGGCCATTCCAGAGACGGTGACATCCAGGGGCGACGTCCAAGTGCCCTGCGCCGACCCGTTTGGATCCCGAGGAGCCGGCCGTGGGCGCCCTCCCTCGGCCACCCTGGTGTAGCCCCCCACCCGGCGGCGGGGTTCTGGGGAGCCTTGGGCTGTCCTCGGTCCCCGCGGCCAGGTCCCCGTAGCCAGGTCCCCGCCTCCAGATACCCGCAGCCAGGCGGGTCCCCGCGGCAAGGCAAGTTCCCGCAGCCAGGCAGGTCCCCGCAGCCAGGCAGGTCCCCGCAGTCAGGTCCCCATGGCCAGGTCCCCGCAGTCAGGCAGGTCCCCGCAGCCAGGTCCCCACGGCCAGGTCCCTGCCACCAGATCCCTGCAGTCAGGCAGGTCCCCGCGGCCAAGTCCTTACCACCAGATCCCCGCAGCCAGGCGGGTTCCCGCGGCCAGGCAGGTCCCCGTGGCCAGTCAGGTGCCCACGGTCAGGCAGGTCCCCGCGGCCAGGCAGGTCCCTGCCACAGGAGTGCGCGCCCACCGAGGAGCCGCCGGCGACCTCACAACATCGTGGCTGTTTTCCTGGAAGCTGCCTGTTTTGATTTTTTTTTTCCAGACTTGAATTTCTTTGGGGAGGCGTCTGTTCAAATCTTTAGGTACGCTGCATGCAAATCTTTGCGTGCGTGACAGCGTATCTCATTCCATGTCACTGCTATCAGGATCTGCCTACGACAGATTTGGGAGGAACAGAGAATAGTCTATGTTCACAGGTCTTGCAGGTTCACACCGCTGCCCTGACTCCAGGCATGTGGGGACTGGGTTTTCTTCGTAGTAGGCTCAGCAAAGCCCCATCAACTTAATTCTCACTTTGCATGACAGAAGAGCGAGCTAACAAAGTTTTACCCTTTGTGTTTCATGTCACCTTATCAGTCACTGAGAACCTCTCAAGCACCCAACTTAGCTTTTTTCAATCGGTATTGGAGGAGTCTTCTGGATCAGAGTCTAGAAGTAGCTAGGAGGCAAGACAAGACAGACTGACAGAAACTTTGCTGCAGAGATCAAGACTTCCCTGCAAGACAGAACCTAGTTGCTCAATTAAGTATTTAAAACCACGATTTTATGGTATTGATTACAGTAAGCTGTATGGCCTAGGGCAAAAATGATTTTTCCATGGTTTCCCCACGTTCACACTGCACTATCAGCATGTCGAACTCTGCCGGCAGGACATAGATGTGCTGTATGTGTTCTCCAGCTCAGGACATTAGTAAAAACACCCACTCACCTTCTAATGCTTGTGGGACAGGCTCTTCTTTCACTTTAAAATGACCTCGAAGTCCGTACCTGCCGGACCATCACCACTCGTGAATGGTTTCCCAATGCTGCATACACGTCAAGCGCCGAGAACTAACTAGAAATCTCCCATTCTCTCGTACTCGGCACCGTACACCCTACTCAGCTATCCTGTTTCATCAGTAAGACTCGGAGCCTGCATCCTCTGGGCTTTTCCTAGCGTGCACCTTAAGACACAGTGTTCCCATGAGCTGGCCTAATGCAGGGGGCGGGCGGCACTGACCCACGGAGCCAGATATGGCTTTCTCCTTTATTAAACATTAAAGCACAAATGGATGGTCCCTGCGGGGAGGACTACAGGACAGCAGGGCAGGAGGAGGGGATACTCGGGGAGGGTCACACAGCAGAGACCCATCTTCACAGAAAAGGCTCAATATTGATTTCCAGGGAGGAGCAGGGCATGGTCAGCTCAAATTTGGTGATGACATCAGGATGAAGGACCCCAAGCTTCCCGATGCTCTGACCCCTGGCCAAGATCTCCGCGCATCTCCCGGGGAAGAAAGCAGAGCCTGAAAAAGAGAAGAGAAATCAATGTTTCTCTTGGTAAACGTGTCAACAGACATTTAACACCTAAGGCTCACTAGTCTGTGAAAAATGACTTCTTTAAGCCACAGGCTAGGAAACCAGAGTGCTGTCCTCACACTTTCTAATCTTAAAAAGAAATATTTGATATTACAGCAAGGAACTCTTACAAGGAAAAGGCTAAGAGAAAGATCAAAGTCAGGGCCCTGTATGGGTTTTTGTTGATTGTGGGGTTTTTTTTTATTTTTAATCACAGGGCTCTAAGCAGGAAGGATCAAGAAAAGGAGGCTGGAGGAGCACAGCTGGAGAAGTCCTGGGGGAGCTCCAAAGGGAGGAAGGACAAAGGGGAAAGACGAAATGTAAAACTGATGACCTTGCATGGGAAGAACCTGTTCTGAAACAGGTTTTTCCATAGTCATCCCTGCTGGATTAAAAAGTCCACCCTGAACTCAGTTACTATCCAAAGCTCACTCTTTTCTACGTTATTACAGAGAGAAACACAATCTGCATGGTCCTCGGTGGCCTCGACCCCCATTCCTGTTGGAGGAAGCACCTCCTCAGCAGTTTCAGAGCATCGTCTGTAAAACCACAGCAAAGGCCAGCAGCAAACAGGTCTGGGCTGACCCAGAGTTACTTCAAGACACGCAGAAAGTACTCTTCCTCCGGGCTCACCAAACTGGTAACTGTTACTGAGGTTCAGGCAGCTAAAGACAAGCACTCGCCGGCTGGAGAGAGCACAAGAGTTCAACGCTCACTCCCTACTCAAGTTTTAAAAGAAAAAAAAAAAAAAAAGCTGACTCACTTCACTTGCCACCAACTTGAAAAGGGGCTCAGGCCCACAGCTCCTGACAGATTCAATGCAAACGTTTACTGGCATGAACTATAAATACCCAGCGGGCTGGGCCGCAAGCCTGCAGCTGCCGGTTCAGTCAGTGCATTATTTATGAAAGGATAAACTGCTGAGTCTCTACTACCGGCTCCAAGGTCAACATGATGAAGAAATCCAGCAGGGTGGGGGCGGCACGCTGCTCACAAGTCAGTACCAGCCACACCATAAAGACACAGGACCATTACACATACTTCCCAGTCAGCCCAGACGGATGTGTTTATATTCCCAAAAAACAGTTTTAATCATCATTCTGAAATAACTCCAGAGCTCCCCTCGGCTGAAATATAAGGTGGCCTGTTCCTCACACACACACTGCCCCCCCCCCCCAAACTAAGCAATTCTCCGCTGTCTCAGGGAAGCCAGACCTTCACTGAACTGCACCTGCAACTCCTATTTGGCTTTGCACGCTGCTCCACACTTGGGGGCGGGGCGGGGGCTGTGCGGGGGCTGTGCCGGGGCTGAGCGGGGGCTGAGCGGGGGCTGAGCGGGGGCTGAGCGGGGGCTGAGCGGGGGCTGAGCGGGGGCTGGAACACAGAAACCGAATGGCTAATGCAGAGCCTCAGTGACAGGAACTCACTGCACCTGATGACGGGGCCTATTTTAACACTATCAACACAAAAACCCAATTTATAAAACTTTCCCCCACCTACATCTCTGAATGACAGTGAGGCCTGTACAAAGGGCTGGTGGTCAGTGGGGTGACCCAGACTTGGGGAACCCTCCTCCCACCATCCGTCACCCCTTCCTACAGAACAAGAGCTTAATACCCTCCACTAAGTGGAAAAACCCACCGGCCTACTTTTAAAGGCCATCCAGAAAGGAAGCTTAAGACCTCCACTGGTAACCCTGCCATGTTTAAGAATCCTCACTGTGTATCAAAATCCTTCCTTTTTATCTACAAATTCCAATTTGATTGGATTCATTTTAACTGAAGCATAAAACCAGACTATTTTAGAATCTAAGCCAGATGTGCTAGTTCTAAACAATGTTAGCAAAATAAAGCTTAAGAGATAAGAACTTAGGATTTTTACTTCATAAAACAACTTTTGGAATCAGCACTTTTTTTAGCACAGTTCAGTTACATTCTTCTTTAGTGAACAAGCCTGATAATGCCATCTGTCCCTTTCTCCGGACATTTGGAGCACACTTGGCTTCAGGTCATTAACCAGTCAGGTACTCAAACAAAAATGTTCCTATCACTAACCGCAATTTTCCCTCTTTCCAAAGAAAACTGAAATTCATATTACACATTACTTAAAACATTCAAGTAGAGAGCATTTTAAATAACGCGAATACCAAAACCCTCAGCCCAGCGCACAGGTCCGTGGGAGCCACTGCACACCCTAGTCAGCCCCGGGCCAGGGCCCTTCCCTGCACCAAAGGGGGCCTCTGGCCTCACCTCCAGTGTTGATCC